AGAACAAACACTCCTAAATCAGCACAGTTAGGCAAACAATGCCCTCCATTTGGTCTGGTTCCTGGTTCTTACAGTTCCCAACTTTCTGTGATGTCCTTATTAACTTTCTATTTCTTAAAATTCAGAGGATGATGCCAGGCAACCTGATAAAAAATAACCCAAACAAAAAACAATCACTTTTTCTGCCTTCCCAACAACACCCAGTGTAGTCACAACTGCCAATGTCAGGAACTTTTGAAGATACAACCTATAAGTGCTTTCTGAGATTCCCAGCCAAGAGCCATTGAATCCTTACTCTATCTTAGGGCTGATGGCCCCCTCGGCCATAATTCCTTTCACCTGTGACTATAAACCCCACAAGCAGGTATGGTGAAAACAGAGCAAGATTCAGGGAGAAAGGCAAGAGCTCTTTCCTGCCACCTCTGTTCAGGTGCCCGATGGGAACAAGTTACACAGCAGACACCAGCATGTGCAGGGTGGTGCCCTTTTCCTTAAACCCAGCACAGTGGGAAAGGAGCCAAACCCTATGGACAAGTCTGCCTTTGGGGCACCAGCTGCACAACTGGCAGGGAAATTCAGCTGGGAGCAACAGCCTGATCATTATTTCTGATGTACTTCGGCGTGCTGAGAGCTTCTGGGTCAATTCACAGATGGCACTGAACAGAAGTAGCACAGCTGATGGCAGGGAAGGTCATCTTTAACCATCTCAGCATTCAGTGTCAGGCTTGATCATAAAAGACAGATGGATTCAAAAGCTTGGAGATACAAATAACTCAAAATTAAACAGTCCCAAGCAAGTTGCAAAATCGTGAATGACCACCATGGGGCCAGACAACAGAACAGGAATAAAGAAGTCGCTGGCAATGTCTCTGGCTCCTTTAACTGTCCTTAGTTGCTGCCATGCACTCCTACAGGAATTTGACATCTTTTCCACTTGGCCTGGTCCAAAAAAATCCCCTTCACAACCCTGGCATCACTCCACTAACACAGCTCTGCCTTTTCCTTGCTCCCAGCTGTGTCTTCTCTTCTGCAATAAATCTCAGACATCCCAATAGCTCTTTAATGTCCCACCCTCCATTCCAAGCAGCGAGCAGTGCTGGGGGTTGGGTGGGTACTTACCTATACAGTGAGGGACTCGCTACAAAAACATCAGGACTAAGCTGTGCATTCCTGTGCCTGTAGAGCTAAAGGTCAGCTCCAACTGCTCAGTATTCCCAGGGCTTCCTCCTTTGCCTGGAAATGTGCCATCACATAAGAGGCAGCCACGAAAAGTATACAATATCAAGCTACAGTCTTAGCAGTAAGATAAACCTATGGCCATGTTCCCCCTCCCTAGAATGGACCAAAATTCACTTTGCACACTCCCTGTCTTCAGTTCACATCTACCCCAGCCAAGGGAAGTCACACACTAGTCTTTCAGAGGAACAGCACCCACAGAGCTGCTCAAAAGAGGACAGGACTCCCTGCAGAGGGTTTCCAGCAAATCATCACAGCTATTGTGTGCAACTCACTCCCAGGCAACACCAGCCCGAACCTCACCCTCTGCAGAAGCAGCTGCCAGAGAACTTGCACAGTTTTAGCTTCTCTTGGACCCAGCCCCTGGCCTGGAGTGAGGGCAGGAGCTCTGATCTTGTTACAGGACAAATCCCACTGCAGGGAGGGTTTTCATTCAGCTGAGAACAAAGCTTTAATGGTGTATGGGCAACTTCACACCTGCCTGGGAACTCAGGATGTTGATGGATGTGCACGGCCACTTTTCCTTCCACTCTCCCTGAGTGGATATCCAGCTTTAAAGATGTTCCCTATGCTAGAAAATAAGTTTATGTACCCTTTCATTAGGCTGGAATTTATGGTCCAGAGGGAAAAAACCAAACCAAAATGAAGAACCAGTTTAGAAATGAAAACCAGCATCTTTACCACCATAAGAGACCTCAGAGGAGTTGTTTGGACACTGCAGATTAAACAGCCCTAGTCTGGACTCCAGGAGTTAAGTCCACAGTTCCCAAACCTTTTTCCATGAAAGCCAACAGGCATCCCTTGGAACAGGAGAGGTTCAGGCTGGCATAAGGAAATCCTCTGCACCTTTAAGGGCAGCACAGCTATGCAGCAAGTTTTCCAAGCTGTGAGGGAAAAAAGCCCAGAGCAACCTGCCCTGACCCCAAAGCTGATCCTGCTTTGAGCAGGAGGTGGGATAGGCTCCCAGGAATAAAGGAGTCACCTGGTTTGGTTGGACATGGGTACCTGTGCCTCTCACAGCCCCTCTCCCCTCCCACCTCAGCCACCCTGCTTTCAGTAACCCAAAGCAAGGGCACTTTTGATGGGCTGTGAGGTTCCCTGGGGTTACACCAAATTAAAGTAAAGGTTGCACTTACCTCATGCCATGCAAAACAGCATCCACATGGGAAAACTATTGGGTTTTCTTCAACTCTTAAATAAATAGCTACTGTATTCATAATTTTTTTTCCCCATGACTGAACTCCACATGCATGTGCTCATTGTCAAAGCTGGTGCTCTCCACAGTGGTGGAGTGGACATGTCCTAAAGCAAGATGAACTACAGAAAAAGCTAAAACTAGCCTTGAAATGAAGTCTCTGATTCTGAAACTGTATCAAAGGCCGCAGCAAAAGCACCACTAATTAATCCAATTTATTTCATTAACTACGTAATATTAATGCAAACTGTTGTCTTTTCTGACTTAAACAGAGAAAAAATTAGCCCTGTTTAAATTACCCTCACCCTAAAAGAGCATTAAGGCAGTTAAGATCTGCCTTTCAGGATTCAAGGTGCAAAGATTCAAAAGACTGAGGATATAGCACAGTTCAACCTATTTTCTTGAATTTTTTCTCACTTGAAAGAAAACAGCAAAAGCTTTTACTACTGAAAATCTTCAGCACTGAACAGTACACATCAGGTTCTTCACAACTAATCTGGTTAGAGATTATTTTTAGAAAAAATTCAGAGTAAATTGACCTGAATAGAGCTTATTAAAAAAAAATTATACACTTTTGTTCAGTGGTACTTGTATACAGACTACTTGCTGGAGTATGAAAAAAACCTGCATGCACAAATGCTTTTAGAGATGACACCTTTCAGGGAATTCAGTCTGAGCAGATCTGTTAAACACACCAGGATTTTGTAGAATGTCACAGCCCCTTGCACCTTGCTGCTGTGAGTTCAATCAGCAGTTTGAATAGAACACTTAGGGCAAGTGCAACAAATATTCTACTAGGAAAGGGCTTTTATAATACAGGATCAATAACTTAGTAAGAATTTTATATGGAAATGCATTAAATGTGCAGGGGTATCATCACACCTGAAGTAACTGGTAAGGGCTGAATGCCAGCTAAAATTAGGCACTAAACATTATGAAATAATGTAAGTTTTACATAGTCATTACACAGATAGAATTAAATAATTAAGCAAATAATAGATAGATAAAAAGGTCTTTCAAAGAGCACAAGTGTTTTCTTCCTTTTTTCCTCCTGAAAATACATCAACAGAGTCTGGAACTGTGATAACCAGGAAAACCCAATCACAACAGAATATGCAACTTTGCAAGTTCTGAATCAGGTACCTTACAGAAAATAACCTGAAGAGTAATGTTTGAGGATAAAACAATTAAAAACTCAAACTGTTCTTTGTGTTTGGCAGCCTACACACAGCAGTGTAAAACAAAGCACCGTTTTAGGTCATCCACTCTTTTCAGGTCTGATAAAAACAAAAAGACACAGAATTCTAAATAATCCCAAACAGTCCAGTGTGAAGCATGACCACATGCTGTGAGTTACACTTCACGGAAGCCAGAACCATTGAAGTACAAAATTATTCTCCTTTGACTTGCAAGCCTACATCCCTGTTTGTGGGACAGGATGAAAGACACTGGAAGAAAGGGACTCCAAAAGAAAGGAATCCCATGAGGCACATCCCCAGCCTCATTAGGATTGTGTGTTCCTGCGTGTGACCACAGTGCCTGACAAACAACATCCACTCCAGAGTCCTGACCTTTTGTAGGCCCAACAGAAACCAGCTACTCACAAGGCCATCACTTCTGCTGCTGCCATACAGCAGAACCATGCTGATCCGACAGTAACTGCTGTGAACAAACTTAAACTACCGAAGTGAAAACAAATCTGTCCTAAGAGCTACTCAGGTCCCCTCTGTGAAGGAAGTTGTGTCTCATTTTAAGCAGCGTTGAGAATTGCCTGGAAGTAGGAAATGCTCAAGTACTCAGTTGCAGGTGAAGTCCAGGTGTACCTGGCACAGGTGGCCCTTCAGAACTGCTGCTGGAAGCTGGCACAAACGTGCAGAGCAGCTCGGCATGAGAGACCTCCCCAGCCGTGCCCGCAGAGCTCACGCTGTAATTACACCTGGAGTCATCATGCAGGAACAAAGAGAACTGCCCAAAACTGCCCCTCCCGCCTTGAAAGGGAGTTACAGCCCATAAATGCAGTGGCAGTTTTGCTCCTTGCTCCTCAAGCTGAACCTCCTCAGGAGATTCAATGCCATCCCTCTCCTAACAGGGGGGTTCTGTCTGAATATCAAATCAACATTAAACCCCCCCAAAATCAAGGCGCTTCAGGGACTCTCTCTACCCATTTTTTAGCTGCTTCTCTGAGCACTTCTCCTAAGTTCTGTGGGATACTCACACAAAGAAAAGAGAAGTGAGGGGCCAGACCTGTCAGATCACTCTGCCAAATGCACAAAACAATTCCTCATCTGATCTCATTCCAGTTCGGTCCATACCTCTAGCAAAAACGGATAAAACTCGGCACTTCACAGGAAACTGCTGTCCTTTCATTGTCACTCTTCAATAGGATATTTTCCAAGTGGATAAATTTCCAACCTGTGGCCTCGGCCTAAGTGGAAAGGGCAGGGCTTTCTTAGCTTTCCTTGTGAATAATTTGTAGCCCTGCGACAGAGATGCTGAACCGTCAGCAAATTCAGCCCCTAAAGGCTAAGCAAAAATGTTTCATTTCGATATTTTCTCTTCTGCTCGATAGGAACCACAAAAAGGGAGTCAGGCCGTTCAGGCACAAGGAAAATGCTGCTGTCACGAGAGAAGGCAGGCTGGGATCACATCACCATCACGAGCTGGTGATGACCAGGGACAACAAGCAAGCAGCTACTGAAATACATTCCCCTGGACTTTCACCCCAGTTTCTCTCGACAAAGGCTCTGGAGGTCAGTGCCCTCAAATCGAGTATTTGCAATTGTACCTAATCTCAGCTGAGAGTCCCCCGCTCCCCTCCCAGCACCTGCCCTGCATAGATCCCCCCAGGCTGGGCAGGAAAGGTGGGAGGGAGCAGTTTGCCCCTCGTTCGGTGAACAATTGACTGAACAACTCAGCTAAGCACAGGAGATGGTCCCACAGAGAGATATTAGCATTCTGACTGTCTGCTCTGTTACCAGATCAAGAGGAAAAGTGTTTTAAATGAGGCCCTGCCTCACCCTCTGAGGGAGATCTTAATTGCTGTGATTTTCTCTTCCCCCCCCCATCTCCCCAGGAGAACATAAAAGCTCCTACCCAGTCCTGGGTATGCCACACCCTCCATGAGATTACTATCAGAAGAGAAGAGAAAGACATTTTAGATTTTATCTGGGAATAAATACAGCAGGGCAGTTTGTGTTATTTATAAACTTTTGGGACTGAATTTTCCCTTCATTTGATTAAAGTTCTGGTGCCCCAAATCAGTGACGGTGTAGCCTATTCTATAAAGTCAGGATGTCCCATGTCCCAGTGTGTTTCTCTAGAACAAACCTCCTTTGAACTGCTGGGATAAAGAGTAACACAACGATCTGCGGGACCACGGTGTCTTTTGATGAGGAGCCATAGCCAGGAAAGCTCTTTGAGATACAGCGGTGAGGAGTTCTCATTATTGCAAACAGTAACATGAGAGCAGGTAGATTAAAAATACTGTCACATCTCTCTCTGTGTAAGCTAAAAACAGCAAATGTAATACCACTGACTTCATTTTTAAATATTGCCAATTCCTTTAAAAAAAACCAAAACCCAACAAAACATCGTCCCTTACATTTCAGTCGTTTAGTTGTATTTTCTAGAGCAAAATACATATAAGAAATGGGAGAAAAGTCATCCAGAGAAGAAAACGGCCATTATGGTAACTTTTGGAAGAGAACGCGTCCATTTTAATCAGAAAATTACCTAAATAAAGACATGCAAATTGAAAATTCGTTTCAGTTAGGCTTCCAGAAAGGGAAGTAAACTCATGAAAACATGGCTTCAACATCGATTGTCTGAAAAAGTGAAATTCCCAGAGAGAAGCGAGAGAACTCTAACTCTGGGTGTAACTGCAGCAAGAGGCAGGATGATAGGGGAAATAACCTAATTAATCTCCCAAAGTAATTTACATTTGTATTCAACCAGCCATGCTATGCAGCAGGAAAAAGGTTACTAGGAAGCAAGGAGTTAAACCCAAAGGAATTAAGTTCTCTAAATCATCCCCAGGGAACCAGCAATAACGCATCACTTTTCATCAGTGATACAAAAGTTAACTAGAGCAAGAGAGAATCATTCCCAATGTACCTAGAGATGTTGCTGCTTTTTAGATGAGACCAGTAAGTAAAACACTGTTCTTCCTTAAAATACCTCTTTTGGAATGAGTTGAGGTCAGCAGGCTCCTTGGTGATCAGGGAAGATGAGCTCCAGCTGGAGCAGATGTTACCAGTTTGGTGAACTTATCAGAGTGCCCAAGAAATGAGACTGAATGAAGAGATCAATTTTCTAGTCAGAAGATGGGGCTGCAACAGGGAGTGGCTATTCTATACAAATTATTGGGAAAGAAGGGTAAATACTAGAAAGAGGAAAAAAAAAAAACTTACGTGATTTAAGCTAAACCAGGTAAGAGAAACATAGAGGTTGAGCTGGCCAAGGACAACACAGGCTAGACATCAGAAATTTTCCTGTTAAAGGTTTTGAAACAGATCATTGCTCATTGTTTTCAAAAAATTGATAATTTTTTTGCTTTGAGAAAGAATTAAAAACTGCTAAAGCTCGGTCAGACAGGAGCAACGTCGCGGGATGTTCCGCAGGACCAAGGGTAAAATTCAAGGTTAATGACCCCAACATACCGAAATCTGCCCCCCCCCGACCGCAGCTGCACACAGCAAAGGGATTTACTGACCAAAACCAGTGCCCTGAGGGACAACTGGAGAGTTGTGAGGCAACAGTCAATACCAGGAGCAGAAATTTCATCTGCTCTGCTTCTGACCCACCGTTATTTTCATGCTGGTGGGTGTGTTCTGCAGCCACATTTCAGAGGACTTTCGTGGCAAATTTGCATTAAGAGCACCTGATAATCCCGTTATACTTTACCTATAGACCAAGCCCTTCATTGCAGCCCCCATTAGGCTGCAGAGGTCACTAGAACAATTAATCAAATGTGAACTAACCGCAGGTAGCAAACTAAAATAATGCCTAAATATTCACCAGTGTGAACTAGTTAAAATTACCAGAAAAACTTCCCTCGGTTGTTTGTCATTGTTGTTATAGACCTGTAACAGACCTGAGAGATCTGAGTGCATGTTCTCTGTGTATCCCATGGACGTTAATTCAAATTAAGTGCTGCGGGAAACAAGTCAGTGCTACATGTCATCTGCAGAATTCTCATCTTCTAAATTTCTGATGTGAATAGCTACATGTTTAAGGTAGCAACTAGAATGTGTCTGAGCTTAATTTCTTCTTTTCCACATGATCTTCCATCCTTTTAGCTTTTATAAATTTTTAGAAAAGATTTAACAGAGTACTTGGTAGGGCTGGGTTTTGTTTTTCGGGGGGAGTATTTCCAGAGGAATTAGGACTCGAAGCAGGTGCTGAGCGCAGACGATCCCACCCGCACTGGGGGATCAGTGCCTTCCCTCCCGACACCGTCCCCCACCCGCGGGGCTCGGGCCCTCCGCCTTTACCTTCTCCGGGAGCAGCAGCTCTGTGGCTCTTCCTCAGGAATCTTTGTGCTGACACCATCCAGAACATCCAGCCCCAGAGTTTTTTCCTTTCATCTTTGCTTTCAAAACACCCACGAAGAATTAAACTAGTTTAGTCTTCCCCTGGTTAGGAACTCACCTCCCCGTTCATTGCAGTGCCAGTCTCGGACGCGTTAGATGCAGCCCCTTCCTCCAGGGAACACGACCCGCGGCCAAACACCGAAAGCACGCGGCACAGCTGCTTCTGCCACGCTTTCCCTGAGTCCCGAGTGCCCCTTCCCGGGGTGCAGTGCCTCACCGGGGCACCACTGGCTCCGCTTCAGCCCCGGCCTGCCCCAGGGTCCGAGCCTGCGCCTCCGGACAAAGCTGTGCTGGCCATGCCCTGCTTGCTCCCGCTTTTCCAGCAGCCCGGCTGCAGGAGTTGTGCCTGCCGGGATTTACACCGCTGGTCCCCACATGCCACAGGCAGGAGCTCCCTGCCCTGACAGGGGGTTGGTACTTCAGCTGCTGCGGCAGCTCAGGCCCCTCTGCTGGAACCAGCTCTGCGAGCACCGAGGGGCTCCCGTCGGGACGAGAACAGAGTGCCGCTGAAAGCAAGGAACTCCAGGGGCACTGGAGGGCTCCAGCTAAGGCTTCTCCCAGACAAAAGCCTCCCTCCCCTCTCGCCCAGAACCACGGCTCTTCCCTGGCTCGGGTTACACTTACCCGAAGCGCTGCGGAGCGGGCACAGGGGCACCGGGGCCGAGGCCCCGGCCATGCTTTAGCCCTGCCCTTGACGTTTGCCACAGCACTTGCAAAGCTCGTTCTGGGCTGCAGAGCATCCCCTCATTCACTGGGAAAAAGCCCTCAGACAAGCTAAGCTCTGCTCTGCTTGCTTTAGAACCTGGGGATCACAGAGGGATTTTGTGTTCAATTCAGGGCATTCTTTAGGTTCTTGTAGGTTCTTAAATTGCCTGTTGCATTAGAATAATTTTTTCCCCCAACCATCTTCATTGAAAATAAGACCTCAAGTGGATTCATTTTCCTTTACTTTGAAACATGTCAGGTCACAGAATGAATCCATTGCTCAGAACATCTGCACAGCCATCCCTTATCAATCCTACTTATTCTGACCCACTGCTACCCAAAGATCACACTACAAACTCTGGTTTTGTCCATGGATCACCATTACTGTACATTACTGTATTACCCCCCCAAGTCCCCTTTTGTGCTGTCCATCATTACATGCCCAAATCAGAAGACTGAAAATGCTGACTGCACATTCTTTGCAAGCATCTTACTGGATCCCATAGATAGTCTGAGGACTTATAAATGTGCTGCCACCCATATGTGTCCCAGTACTAAAGATCATCTATTTTTCCTCTATATACAGTATATATAATGAAAACACCACCCCCCCCCTCCTCCTCCAAAGAAAAAAACAAAACAAAACAAAACAAAACCCACCAAAACCAAAAAAAGGTTATTAGCTTGATTTCAGTAAGGACATTAAGGCAGAAAAATCAGGTTCAGTATTGGTAAGCAGCTAATCCTCACTTTCATCTGTTTAAGTCACATTATATGTGGCTGCCTTATATCAGAGGAGATACTTGACAAGCATAACCTTTTCTCTATTTACAAATACTCTCAAGTTGCTTTTGGAAACCCTTCCCCAAGATTTTACTACTTATAACACAAATGTTCTAACAGTTACATTTAATATATGTACTTATTATTTTAACCCACTTGAACAGTACTTTGGTAAAACAAGGCATCAGGAGACAAGATGAAAAGGCAAGTCTTTCATGGGAGATGCAGTGTAACCCTCGTGAAACAGGCAGGAGTCTTTCCAGAGGGTTAAGAGAACTTCTAAAATTCTGGTTTCTTATTAGAGCCAAGCTGAAAGTGTTAACAACCCATCTCCCCACACAGCACACCCATTATACTTCCAAGGAAAGTTGCCTATGCTCCTTTAACTGGTCCTCTGCACACATGCAGTGGATGTTTCACAGTCAGTGAGGTTGGTCTGCAATGACAGGTGTTTTTTGAGAGCAGCATTGCAAGGTACTTCCACCTCCAACTGCACAGTTCTACAACACTACAGGTGGCAGCAATTTCTGCTTTTCCAGATGCTGATCTGCTGGCTGCCAGCCAGCCCTGCTAAAAAGGGACCAAAAAGGAAGGCTGCCGTTCTCCAGCTGTTCCTGCCCCTTGCATGACAAAACAGGAATGGAACTGGATGATTTTGCATCAGGAAAAACAGAAAGATTTAAGCAGTACAGGGAAAAAAACCCAACAGACAAACAAATCCTCCTGTATACCACTAAAAAGGTTGCAAGCAAATAATAAAGCAAATTAGGACTTGAAAAATATCTGCTGAAAAGCTGAGTGGAGGGAGTTCAGGAGGGAATTCTTTGCAGTTCTTCCTCCTCTCCCCTCTGCGCTGCTCTCCCCAGCTGTTTGTTCCTAATGAAATGTGAACGATGACTCAGTCAACAGGATCCTTTCACTAGTGCCCCTCGCTAGACTGAGGGGAAAACAATCAGTTTTCCTGCCAAACCCCCTGGCTTTGGGAATCTGTCACCTCACTGCTCAAGCCATTTCTCTGAATATTCAGAATCCCCTCACAGGGCTATCATTGCATCCTTGTCCCAAAAGATCACTACAACACTCCAGGATCTGGTAAGGTGAAAGACCCTGGAATGCATGAGAGAAGGGACTCAGAAGCACCACACAGATCACATCACTTGCCCCCAAAAAGAAACGATCAGACCTCACCCCACTGGGACATGGCTTGCCAAGATCTGCACCAAAAAAAAAATAAATCAAACTGCAGGATGCAACAAGCAAATCTACTCAGCACCACTGTGTGGCTATCCTTTTAGAGAGGGATAAAGAGAGCTGAACTGATACTTGGCTACATCCAACAGCTTGCAGGATCACTGAATTACCCCTGCAAGGGAACAGGTTCTTACATGCACTGCAGGGCACTTGGCCTGAATCCTCACACAACTTAGAACTCACCTGTTAGAGACAGCAATTTTAAACCAGCAGGGTACAAGGAATCAAAAGCAGCATAAGACTGCAGTGTCACATTTTCAAGACAAATTCAGGCATCAGACACCTAGAAATTCAACAGCAACTTTCCTAAACACAGTTACAACACTACAAAACACACGATGTCAGGTGGTATTTGGTGTGTTCCAAAACTCTAAGCCTATACTCTGTCTTGTCATGCTGTGGATTATATAGTGGATGAATAAATAAGAGGGAAGTTGGTTTTACTTGAAAACAATGCATTTTGTTATTAGAGCTTTTTACTGTAATTATTTTTGTGCAATACATCAATGAAACACAGAATGCAGAAATGTAACAGTTTGGTGGGAAAACACTGGAAGTTTTGAGAGCTGAGTAGAAGTATTCATTATTTATGCCATTTTTCTTGTCACACTACACAGTAATATCCAAACCCCAGCTGAATTTCTACTTGACCCATTTCTGCTTTCTGGAAAATATCAGACTGTGCTACCTGCATGTTTTGCAATCTACTGCTGGCTGGAAGACTCAATCACTCAAAATGAATAATATTAGCTTTTATATTTTTAAATATAAACTGAACTAAACAAATGCATTCAAGGTAAGAACCTCACCTGGGTACACAAAAATTACAGAGGAGCAATAGAAAAACCACGTTTTGTGCACATTTCTGATAAAACTGTCAGTGGAAGTTAACTGTGTTACATAAGTCCAAACAGATGTTCATACAGCACATTACTCAGCAGAAAGATGGACTGGAAACCATTCCTCTCTCTCAAAGCATTAAAGTTAAAACATTGAAAAACCAGTTATGTTAAAGGACTAGGCTTTATAATGTTAGACACAGAAACAACTGTAAGAGCTGGATCTGTGGAAACCCGCAGCCACCAGACAGAAAATTCCAACTTCTCCATTGTTGACTTCAGGGCACCCCAGGCTGAGCCAGAGGACACCGGACAAGGCAAGAGCTGGGAAGTCACTGTGCAATCCAGAGGTCACTGAGCAGCAGCACCCAGGCACCAGGCACCGGGTGAGTCACAAACACTGGGTGTGTTCAGCATGGCAGGACATGCAGCACTGCTGGCAGCAGCTCCACTTCCTGCGTGCAATCCTCACCCCCCACAGAAACCTGGCAGAAACTCCCTGTTGGTCCACTTGCCACTGCTGCTGTACAGCAATGGAACTACAGACTTGTGCCTTTTCACTGCCCCAGCAACAGCAGAGGGGCTCAGAGAGCCTCTTTTATTCTACGTCAGTTGGCATGCACATGTATCCCCTGGAGATTTCCTCCCAGCCTCAGCCACAGACATCCACTGGGCTGGCTATCACTTTGTAAGGCTTCAGCTCATTCATCTGCCCTTATTGGAGAAAACAGAGAAGGGAGGGAAATCATCTATAACCAGAGATCAGGCCCCATTTACAGGCCTGCTGCAGCAGGGCTTTCTCTACAGAATAAGGCAGGCCGGGATTTCCTCCTTTCCGCAGGGTATCTGTGAGGGTTTAAAAAGTCCAAACAAATGGGATGCTGAGGCACAGTAAGACCCAGCTTAGGCTCACTTTTACCAGCCTTTTGCCATCAACTGGTACATAACAAAAGACCACAAGGTGGGAAGTGTGGACATGAAATGCAAAACCTTTGTAAGTCAAAGCTGACAAAAGATTGTTTCTCCAAACCCCCCTTAATGACACTTAACTTAAGCCTGAGTTACATTTCTGGGAATATTACCAGGAAGTTGTAGCTAATGCACAGCATCAGTGTGGGTCATATACAGAACCTTGTGCTGTTTGGTCCAGCAGCTCACACAGGCTGTAGGGGTGCCTGTTCTTCCTCAGATTATTTGTGCTTCAGGAGACCGGTCAAGCTCTGCTCAGGTTGTAAAACTTTTCCTTTTTTTTTTCTTTATTCTTTATCCATTTAATTTCCTTTCCAGCATAAACGCAGGCTGTACATAGTATCTGAAACACTATTACATCAAAGCAATATAGAGAAAGATTACAGTCATTCTAACAAATACCTTTTTTGTTAAATATTGTAAAAATCTGTATCACCGTAGCAACTGTCTCACAGGGCCCCTCACTGAAACATCAGATCAGGCCTACCTGTTGTAACAACTGCTTTCAGCAGCTGGAGGTAGAAGTACCCCAACACAATATTTCAGATGTTTCAGTGTGCCTAAAATGATGTTCTCTTGAATTCTGGACTCCTTTTCCTGTACGTTGACGTGTACTGCTGAAAATCACGAACAAAGTATTTCAAATGCAATTCTTTCAAATCCCTTTAAATAAGTGGTGCTCAACATCCAAAATTAAACATGCTGTCAACAATCTGTACAAAGGTAAAGGTGAAAAATAGAATTTGATTACAAAAGAATTTGTTAACACCATCTGTACACAACAGATAATGCTTTTCAGAAGATAAATTCAATCCTCATCCTCATTCAGTCACAGATGTTATCTCCCAATTCTTAAAGCATGCATTTTCTGTGTACTTATATACAACAATTAGTGTTTTTATAATATTTCCTACGTGTGAACAGTTCAGGTATTGTACAGTGACTCAGCTGAGATGAATGAGCTTATGCACATTACTTTAATGAAAAGATATTTCACTTGTCTAGCTCCAAAAGAGCCAAGAAAGGTAAGTGATAAAAGCACCAGCTTAGACTCTTTTGAACATAAATTCAGGCATTTTAATGTGTATCTCATTAAAGCTACATGAGTTTCCATGTAGGTTATTCATACATATTATGGCACTTGGACTCTCCTAACAGGTATTTAGTAACCTAGGACAACTAGGCTAAAAAAGAAAAGATCTGCTAAAATTAACCATTTCTGTAAGAAAACACTTCCGTTCCAACCTTCAAACCCGTTAATTTTGCTGGAAGTTGCACCAAACCACAACTGCTCCTGTTTGACATTCGGTGAGCGGGCTGCCTTTGACAGGATGTCCCAGAAGTTTGAAGTGTCAGTCTCTTGTGAGCTGTGAGCACAAAGAAAGGCCCTCACCCACTCCCACCACCCCCAGCCTGCCCTGCTCCTCTGTAATTACAACGTGCAGCACTGCTGCTGGCCATCCATTCTTTGGCTGGACTCCAGCCTTTGCAGCAATTACACACATTAAGAAACAAGTCCAAATTTAATCCAAGGTGGTCTCCACTGGCAGCTTTTTCTCCACGTAAGGCATTATTCTGACATCTACTGGCCTGGTACCCAACCATACATCTTAATACACTGCATTTGTAATTAAAAAGGAGTATATCTATTAATCCAAAAAGAACAATTTAATGAACACAAATGACGTACATTTAAAACAGACCCATGTATTTTCATATAAATCTCACAATCCTACCAGTATTTTGGCAGGTTTCTATTGCTTTCTTAACTCATCTGAACTACTGTATATTATGAGGCTTTAATACAAGCAGCTTTGGGGAAGAAAGTTATATTTGGAAGGGAAAAAAAAAGTTGTGACAAGTGAAAACAAAAAAAAAAATCCAAGAAGCTTTTTTTTAAAAAAAAAATCTTTACTTGCAAAATTAAGCAGCATGCTATTTTGTGATTTATATTTGAATTCAAAAAGACTAATTAGACCGAAATAAAGACAAAACCCTAAAAATGGCAAGTCTATAAATAATGAAAATTTTGATTTCACTAGGCTTCAATGAAAAACATTTGGTAATTAAATACTTGCTACTGTTCATTAACGTTGATGAACTTTATTAGGGTTAAAACTATAACAAAGTTCATCCTAAAACTTTTTGCAATGTAAAATTATTTTCACTCGAGGAGTGTCTCAAATTGAATGCTAAGAATTACAAGCAATCTTCAGGAGCAGACACTCACATTCATAAAACTTTATACATCTTTTGGAACTAGGATATTTATACTACTAAAATCAAACATGCATCACTTCCCATACATTCTGGTATCATGATTTATATTACATTATGTAACACCATTCTTCTCCAAAGCAGCAGTTTATCATACGTTTGCTCCATTTTCTTTGGATTTCTGATCTTTATCTTCGTTCTTCACCATATCCTTGAAAAGAAAAGCCAGGAGAGGATGACATGAGCTGGGGAAGTGACATTTCTCCTGTGAGCTGTAAAGCAGCGCGAGACAGACACTGTTTGCTGTCAGCTTTAAAGACTCTCTGAACTGGTATCCAACTCAGTTTAGTTACAACCAACTGAGAGGCAGAAATGCTCTGGAGTGTTAGGTGGTTTGCTTTAAACTCATTTTACTGAGATACTCTCATATATTGAAATGTTTGAATTCTGCCCTGACAGAGTACTGCTCACCAATAAAACAGAGCAGCAGATTTGGGCTGTTGGGGATGGACAAGATCAGAACAGGAAAACAGTGAAATGGTTTGAGATTTACATTAATATTTATGCATTTTTAAAAACATCTCAGTCAGGAATATGTGTTGCAAGCTGAGAAAAAAACCGACATTTAATTTTTTATCTTTAAAAAACTGATATCATATCGAGCTTCTTCCACATATATGTTAAGATACTACTGCCCTGAATTCACATCAAATTTGGTTTTTATTTTGAAGTTTCTGTTCCAATTGTTTAGTCAACAGAAGTTTGGATACAGTAATAAAAAATGGAATTAAACAACTCTAACCTGTTTAAGAACACTCTGTATTTCATCCATAACAGTAGCTAAATTTTTGATTGTCTTATTCAGCTGACCCTCAAATTGCAATTTTTTATCATCTGAGATCTTCAAATTTTCTTGCAGTTGGCCAAGGTCCTTTTTTACTTCTTTGAGCTCTCCAGACAGACTTTTGTTAGAGTTCTCCAGCTGTAGTATAGTTTTTTCATCCTCATCTTAGGAAGGGAATAAACAAGAAAGTCAAGTCACTTCCGATGCATCTTAATATTCTATTTATGTGCCAACAGCATAATAGTAATTTTTAAAGAACATTAAGAACTGCATTGCATTACCATTTGATAATATTTAATTCTCCCTGCATTTGGAAGTCTCGAATAAAAGAAATGAAAGCATTTCAGCACGACAAGAATGGTACTCAACAACGGTGTGCATGTCAAAAGGCTTTGGGATAAAGAAAACCGGCAGGCAGGCAAATAAGTACAATTTAGATGGCAGATATCACTCCAACCGATTTCTCCCCTCAGAAAGCCTCAGTGTCTCTGTCAGCACTGCCTTCCCAGTACAGTCCCACCTGTTTTCTCCTCCAGCAGCTGCAGCTTCTGCTCGATCTCTGCCCGCACCCTCTCGCTCTTCTCCAGCTTCTGCAGGAGGCTCCCCACGTCCACCATGGCCCCGTTGTACACGATGAGCCCCACGTTCTCCTCCACGGCCTTGGCCTCCTGCTTCACGGCAGGGGACGGCAGCAGCAACCGGTTCCCTGCGTTGGATTGAGTCAGAAACAGTCACTAAATCATCTCTGCAGCTCTAGTGGCCCATCTCGAAACTTCTTAAAAGAATAAATGCTAGAAGAATAAACAGACTCAGGTTTGCTGGTCTATCCCTCACATTTCCCTCCTTCCCCTTTATCCCAACTCCTCCCCCAAAAAAGCATCCTCTTCCATGACACCATTCTGTGCCTCTTTTCTCCAGTAATTTGTCTTCAAGACTCAGGCTCTGTTCTACTGCTCTGATCCTCCTGACTGCAAAACTGACAATGAGAAATGCTGTTCATCAAAATTCAACATTAACCTCTGCCCTCCTTCCTGTTCCATGAGATTAGGATTTTTCCTAGAGATGCAACAAGATATCTTGGAAGCCAAAAATACTGTAATTTATCAAATGCCAAGATTTACTTTTCCAAACTGGCTCAATTATTTTCTGCAAGAAGGCAAGAACCTCAGAACTCTAACTATTCACACAGAAATAATTCTCAGGAAGTTGTGGCATAAAAAAAAAATATACCACCTAACATATCTTCCTGTAGCTCTTCAGACTGTTCTTGGTTTTCTTCATCTTTAGAAGTATCTGTCAGTCTTCTGTAAAAGCAAGATTCCCGAAGCACTACTTTATTAAGCAGCTTCTTGACCTACAACACAGCCATGGAAAGAAATAAGTGTTACACAATACACAGGCATCATATTTACTTAAACAAGAATGTTCTAACTTGGAAAACTTAGAGAAACTGCACAGCTTTTTGAACTTAATATACTGGGGCTTAAAATGCAAACAAGGCAAAGATGAAAGAGGATTTTGAGACAAAAGCTACATAGACAATATGGGCATACTGAGAGCTGCAAACTTCCCCTTTTCACTCTGAGACAATTTACAAAGATTAAACTAGTATTTCAGTGTAAATATGGGGTGGCTACATAAACAGCAGAGATCAGGTATGTAAGCAAAGCCTCCAGAACTGCATCTGTCCCCCTAACAACAGTGCTGTAACATTCTCAGTGTTCCCCTGCCACACGAGACCTGAGCGCGGGACAGGTGCAGTCCAAGGGTGTACAGGATCTCCTCCATGTCCTTCTCCAGCAGGTATCCACAGTGACTTTGGTCAAAGTAAACAAAAGCCATCAGGAGATCCCTGTTAACTGTCACCATCTGGGTCTTGTCTTTCTCCTACATAAAATCCATTATGGGATCATTAGGCAGTTAAAATATCATTTCCTCATCATCTACTTAAAAATACATAAACTTCTCAGTTAACAAGTTATTTCTCTGTTCATTTTATCATTGCTT